CAAGTGGTCTGGGCTCCAGAACATAGGAGCAGCAGATAGCAAGGGAGTGGATGGAGGCATGGAGCCTCCAGGAGCCTTTTGCTCTCACCTCTGAGAGCTTACCTCAGCTCTTGGAGGCAGGTCAGCTGCCACACAACTGTGAAAACTCAAGTAACTAACAGTGACAGCATTTACTCATCTGCCTTGTAACACTTAGTATTTAGTGTTCCTCATAACCCTATGATAATGGCAGTTTTTTTTGGGTTTTTTTTTTTTTTTTTGGCAAGCAACTGAAGCACAGACCTTTAGTAACTAGCTAGAGAGCACAGGATAGGAAACTGCAGGCACCACACAGAAACATAGGCTTGGAGAGCAGCTGGAATGAGTTTCAAATCTGATGCTCTGCCCACTCTGCTGAGCCTGAAGCAGGTGCTGGGGACTCCCTAGTTTCCCCATCCTGACAAGGGATAGAAATGAGATCTCAGGTCAGAGTTAAGCAGAGGCCAGTTCTGTGGTAATACACACTCCTGCCTCCAATAAAGACCTGCCCTGCTTGCTTAGCCTGTTCTTTCTTTCCTTCAGTCTTAAGGCCCTCCTAGCTGGGAATCCTCCAGACAACATGGTGGACCTGTCAGGCATCCCACTGACCTCACGTGACCTGGAGCGGGTGACCAGCTATCTTCAGCGCTGCGGAGAGCAAGTGGACAGTGTGGAGCTGGGCTTCACAGGCCTCACAGACGACATGGTCCTGCAGCTACTGCCGGCGCTCAGTACCCTGCCTCGCCTCACCACACTAGCCCTCAATGGCAACCGACTGACCAGGGCTCTGCTGAGGGACCTCACTGACACCCTGAAGGACCCCAGCAAGTTCCCCAATGTCACATGGATTGACCTGGGCAACAATGTGGACATCTTTTCTTTACCCCAGCCCTTCCTGCTCAGCCTGCGCAAGCGCTCTCCCAAACAAGGCCACCTACCTACTATCCTGGAGCTGGGTGAGGGGCCAGGTACTGGGGAAGAGACCAAGGAAGGCACAAGTGAGCAGGACTCTGGAGGAAGCCCTATGACACCTACCAGAGACCAAGATAGCAGGGAGATTGTGACTCAGACATGATTTGGAAGCAGGGAGAACTTGTCAGGATGGCTAAGGCAGATTAGGGGTTTCTACCCATCAGGAGGATGCCTGAACCCCACCCACCACCCAAACACCAGGATGACACCAGAATACTTTTTGTCCCCAACTCCCAATACCATGCCCCTGAGAAGTCATCCCTTGCTCTAGGGATGTTCTCCAGACTTGTGCAGCTGGACCAAGCACTGTCCCACCAGTACTGTTGAACCCCCTTAGATTTAGGTTAACTAAGACCCTTGGAGATTCAATTCCAGGGGCCTCTTGGAAAGGGTGTGTGGTTAAGACATTATCCAGTCCAAGTGCAACCCTCCCTTTGCCTGACTGGGGGATCTTACTGTGAAAGGCAGTACCATGCCTAGTGCCCTTACCCAACCAGCACAACTTTTTCCTTTCTACCAGCTAAATTCCAGACCTCATTCCCAGGACTTAATCCCTGGAATGGCTTTTCAAGCACTTAATCCTTATCAAAAGGCTCCGGGACTAGTTCAGCCCTAGCCTTTTTCCCCATAATGTTCCTTATTTCCCACAGCAAACAGCTCTTATACTCACAGGCAGTTATGAATTTGGGGAATCAAATCCTTACAGGCCAGGTAAGCAAGCAGGCTTAAAGAATCTGGGTTAGGGACCTTGCATGGTACTGCGTAAATCATCAAGGGACAGGAATTGGAAGTGTGGGTGCCTTAAATGCTTTGGAACCTTTGCCCAAGTCCTAGGTTGTGAAAGCAGCTTAGACTGACCAGAAGTTTACAGTGCTAAAGCTAGGCTGCTTAACACCTGACAAATTTCAGTCTTCAAATACAAGTTTTTAAGGACCAGCACCAGAGGCCCTGCTTTACTGTAGCACTCGCTGACTCAGGTAACTGCTGCACACACACATTGACTTGAGAATTCAACCGATACAGTGGCAATCATTTTGGAAACAAATTTATTAAGTATTGTAAATGCCCTGTGGGGCAGGATATCAGAGGTGCCTGACCAGGACAAGATGGGCAGACACACTTGGGAGTTTTTTCATGAGGTGGCCTTCAGTCAGAATCTTGTGAGTTGATGGGCACTCCTCTGGAGATAGCCTGCAAAAAGACTGAAGTTCAGAATCACGTTTGCTCCAACCAATGGCCTTCAGAACACCTAAAGATATCTTCAGAGAACCATAGGCTCACCACTACCAATCTGCCGGTAATTCCAGCTATTTTAGGTGATCTCATCATTTGATATCCTTTCAGAGTAAGGAGAGCTCAGCTAGCTGCTGGAGGTGATCACTGCACAGAGCAAACTTACCTCCTCCTTCTCCACTGCTGCCAACACTGCATTCTAGCACTCGGGTCCTCCAAACTCGAGGAAGGGACACTCCTAAAATGGACTGCAGAAACAGGATGGATTAATGATAGCCCCACTGAAGCCCAGCTCTAAGCACAACCTACCAAAAGTACCAAAAGCCTTACAGAGGGTCTATTTTAAGTTATTAAAATATAATCTTAACTACCAGTGAGATGGCTTCTGATAAACCAGCCCACCAAGGTTCAACCCATGGAACCCAGATGACAGGATCAGTGGAAACTTAAGGGCTGGGAAAATGCAGCTGAACCAGGCTTGATTCCCAGCACTCACAACCATCTCTAGGGCCCTTTTCTAGCCCCCGTGAACAGATAAAGATGGCCAGATGCACACCCCACCCTGCTTTAGCCCAACTGCAACCAGCACCGAGTACAAGCATTCCAAACCAAGCTAACAAGGTCTGGCCCAACTAAAATCAAGGAAAGCTTACCTCATGGGAGGCCAGGGCTGCGAGAAATCCTCCACTCCAAATTCCCTACCTAGAAAAATAGAGCGGTTGTTAGAGTAGAGGCTGAGTTAATCCTAACGGCCAGGCACTGGTGAGCGCTTGACTGCAGTCAGCCAGGAACAGCTATCGTCAGTTATCGCCTCTGACGGCACTTCCTATAGCGATCTCATCACAGCAATCAAGCGTTCAGGTGTCTCACTCCGACCCGTGCCTCCAGCCATTAACTGGAGACCCTGTGGGTGCGCAGGGATGTTACCGACGGCAGCACACGGTGCATTCCCTGGCGCTCAGACTCCGAGTTAAGGGGGTATGGGCCACCCCACCTGGGCACAGTATGATATAGTAGTAGGCCTCTTAGCAACTGAGCCATCTAGGGCCAGGAGCCATTTAGGTAAGAGCGCTTCTGCATGAAGCGTGGCTGGAGGCCACAGGTAGCGAAATTACGATCTTGGCCACGCCGTGACCAATGGCCCCGGAGACTCTTACCTCAGGGTGGGATCCTGCACCTCCTGTTCGACATTCTGTCCATCCCCGGTCTGAAAGGTTAGAACGGGAGTTCAGAGCCAATTCCAACACACGCGCTCAGCAGTCAGTCGCCAAGGGCTGACGACTGCGGTCAGCTAAGGGAGCTCGTCAGTTCTCGCCTCGGACGGCACTTCCTAATCCTCATTATCATCAGAGCAGTCGCCACCCTGTCCACGCGCGGTGCCCCGGGACGCAGACCCCGACCTACCCGGCTCCCTCAGGTGTGCGCGGCGCCCACGGAGGGGCTGGAAGGCCGGGCCGCCGGCTCAGCATCGTACCGGCTCCGCTCTGCTAGGCCCAGGCGGCGGACCCAGCTGCAAGGTACAAATACAGACGTCCTGGCGTCGGCAGAAAGAGAGACCGTAGCCGATGTGCGCCCCCGTCTTAAGGGTTCGGAATAGACCACTTCTCACCCGAGGGAGGGTGAGGGTGGCAAAGGCTCACGGGAAGTCCCCGTGCACTAGGCCCTCCTCGCGACCCACGACTCCCCCCTTCTGTTGAGTGAGTGGTCTCTGCCGCCCCGGGGATTCTGGGTAGTGACGAGCGCAGCGAGGTCCTGCGCGCCTGCGCGAAGGCTTAAACGCGGGTTTCTGGATCTGCCGTGCTCTGCGAATTCTCAGTGCTTTGAAAACGCCTGTGGAGTTAGATCTGACAGCGCAGGCCTGGATTCACAACTGTTTAGGAGTCTGAGGCAGGAATTTGAGGCCAGCCTAGGTGATTTAGTGATCCCTGACTCAAAATAAAACAAAAGAAAAAGGAGGAAGGAAAAGGGAGCCAAAATAATCTAATTGGGTAGTGGAGAGCCTGCGGACCTGGGATTGGAGGGTTAAGACATTGTTCCGGGGCCTGCCTGAGATATCATACCCAAAACTGCATTCAGAGACAATAAAAAAAAACAGTAGCTGCCGCTTAAGGATTTGGGCCGTTCTGCGCCCCATTTTATTTTTAATATTTATTTATTTATTATGTATACAATATTCTGTATGTCTGCAGGCCAGAAGAGGGCACCAGACCTCATTCCAGGTGGTTGTGAGCCACCATGTGGTTGCCAGGAATTGAACTCAGGACCTTTCGAAGAGCAGGCAATGCTTTTAACCTCTGAGCCATCTCTCCAGCCCCCTCTGCGCCCCATTTCTGTTAAAGCATATCCACAGAACCTCTCAAGACCCTATGCAGACAGCCCTCATCACATTTCTTAGGGAATTATAGTCAAGAGGAAGTCTTGTTGGGTCTATTTTCGTTGTCCCCTGCCCTTTCTGCTTCTCACTCGAGACTTTTGCATCGGGTTTATCTACCGGGCAATAGAAAACCGCTGATGCTATCCCATCAGTATGCGAGCATGTTCGGGTGTCTCTTAAGGGTTGGGGACATAGCAAACATGAAGTTCTTAGTTCCTAGTTCCATCCCCAGCACTTCATAAACTGGGTATTGTGGCAAACTCCCAAGTTCTGGGGATGTAGAGGCAGCAGAACCAGAAGTTCAAGGTCTTTTTCAGTTTGAGGGCAGCCTGGGTTACATGAGCCTGTAATCCTAGCGTGCAGGAGGCTGGAGTAAGTTTCTTGTAAATACAAGAACAACCTGGCCTACAGCGTGAAAACCTGTCTCCAAACACCTCAGTGCAGTCCGATAGGACTATTATATATGAGATATATTATATACAAAATGTATCGTATATGAGATGTTCCAACCAGCAACACACACATCTGTGATTGCATACACTTCATATGGATTTATTTACTTTTTGTTTTTTTCAAGACAGGGTTTCTCTGTGTAGCCCTGGCTGTCCTGGGACTCAATTTGTAGACCAGGTTGGCCTCAAACTCACTGAGATTTGCCTGCCTCTGCCTCCCAGCCTCCCAAGGGCTGGGATTAAAGTTGTGGGGCTCCACGACCAAGAACACAGATTCAGGTTTCCCCAAATACCATGTCCCATTTTGGAAGTGGGTTCATGCATGTTTTTAGTAACGGAACAAGGAGAGTCATTTGGAAGGGACCACAGTTGGCCGGTTACAGCAAGAAGGGCGCTGTCTGCTGTGGGTTTCAGGTGCTATCCAGTGTCCTTCTTAGCTTCTGGGTTTGTGGAAATTAGTGTTCTGCTAAGAATAGTTGATGTAAGGTTTTGATAGTCACAAGACTGTTAAATCAGACATGGGGGAGAGGGGTCAAAGAAACCAAGAATAGCACAAGATCGTTTAATCGTTTTACTCTGGTTTGAAAGACAATTTCAGACAAGTCATTTGTCCTTGAATCTTTAGCATAGGGGCTGCTCTCCCCTTGCTCTCTTCCTTCTGGGAGTTTCAAGTCATAGAAACATCTACAAATACTAAGTCAAAGTCAAATGTGAGGCCCTTCAGGCTTCGTGAATGATAAAGAGAAAGTACTAAGGACTTTTCATCAAATTCCCCTAGAAGCATAAGGTGTGGGGAGGGGGGAGAGGGAGAGTCTGGGAATCACGGCAAAAAACGTGCAAGGCTGGGGATACTTCTCTTGGGCTTTCAGAGTTCAGAGGTGACTTGCCTGTCTTCTGTCTCAAGAAGGCCTCTCTGGCTTTCCTGCAAAGAGTCATTGGGGGAGGGGGAAGCTGAAGCCCAGGTGTGTGAAAGAGTGACAATCCAGCGCTTAGCAGAGACATAGTCGTCCTCCAGGTGGGAAAGTGGCTTCATTCGCACCCAACTCTCAGTCTGCCACATGTAAGAGGACTGGGCTGGAACTGAGGCGTGGCCAGCCAGTGAAGTTTCTGAGCAGACTAGCCCCCGAGTCAGGTGGGCACTTAGAGACACAAGCACATATCACCAGGTGCCAGGCCCCCGTGATTTTGTTCAAATAATACTTCTAGAACACTTAGTTATGCAAAAAAAATATATTTCCACCAAAATTCAGTAGCCTCAGAGCTCATGGGGGTGGCCAGAAGGGTTCCCTACTCTGCCGTGCCAGCCTTCTGCCGCGTCTGGGCCATCAGTGGGACTGGAGGACCTGGAGGGGCAGGTGATCTTCCTCTGTGGCGGGGCTCTTCCCAGGTTTAGAGGTTGGGTTTTTTTCATAACCTGTGAACAGAATGAGGAACACTGTGGCTTTGCCCTTGGTGCATCCCAAGCAGTAGGTGCCAGGGGAACAAGAAAGCCTGCCATGTTCTGAGTATAACAGTCGATCCTGCAGTCCCCCCTCCTTGCTTTGTTCCTGCTACCAGAATCTCCTGAACCCCTTCCTCGGGCTAATCATGGTCTCACCACAGGAACGCAAATGCCCCCAGAGCCAACAGGCTCTATCAGAAACTAGAAGATCCGAGACATACTGAAGAACAGGGAAAGGAGGTAACCCTTCTTTAGTGTTGGGGTGGGTAGGGACACCCTGAGAAGAGGAGAGCACAGAGAGACAAGAAGGTGTCAGGGAAACAAAAAACAAAGAGTACCACTGTGTGAATGACCACCATGTTGACAGAACCCTGAGGAATGAGTCAAACAACAGCTGTGGGCCTTGAGCTCCATGCTGAAGACTATTCACGCCTTCAGGGGCTGTGTAGTGGGGGCCCTGTGAAGCCCTTGTCTACATTAGCCAGAATGGAGTGGGACAGGCCTGAAGCAGAAAGCTTTGTCTGAAGGTGGAGGTACATGTTGTAGCTACTGAGACACCTTGCAGTGGGTACAGAGGTGCAAAGGTAAGGGGATGTCCAAGAGGCCAAGGATGTCAGGATCAGGTAGGAGGGATGGACAGAGAAGATAGCAGAGAGGCCAGAGTGAGGCAGATAGGCAGAGCGTACTGCATGCAAGCTGAGAATCTTTCCCCTGACAGGCCAGCAGGGCACCTGCCACAGAGAGGAACTGAGGCACCAGTCCCTACAGGAGAAGCAGGTGTGGGCACAGCTGCGGAGCAGCCACACAGCAGGGCTGAGTCCCACCCTGGCCTCTCAAAGGCTGTGTTGCCTGCAACCCCACAGCACACGCTCACAAGAACCAGGGCAAGGGCTGGTCCCAAGCCTACTCACCAGGGCTGTTCGCCCCTGACGGATCCTCAGACAAGGTGGGGAGTGTCTTCTCCCACGCAGCCCAGTTCACCTCCTCCACCCTGCAGTTGACAAAACAGCTCTAAGTTCGGGAAAGCTTGCAGTGCCTAGCAGCCTTTGCCCTTGGGAGGGCTAATCTCCCTTCTCCCACGGACTATACGATGAGGAAGATGGTTTTGTTTTCTTTGTTTCTGCCTTTCTCTAACAAGGCATTGGTCCATCCACATCCTACAAGTTCTGTCCTTGTGACTCTCAGATGACATACAGCCCCTAGGGTCAGACGTGTACGTGGATGGAGAGGTGCCCTTCTCTCCGACTGTTGTCAGTGTCTGGGTTTCTCAGAGCAACCAGAGGCAAGGGAGCGAGATTAGGTGCATCTTTTTGTTCATTTGTTGTTTGTTTTTGTTTTTTGAGACAGGGTTTCTCTGTGTAGCCCTGGCTGTCTGTCCTGGAGCTCACTTTGTAGACCAGGCTGGTCTCGAACTCACTGAAATACTCCTGCCTCTGCCTCCTAATTGCTGGGGTTACAGGTGTGCGCCACCACCACCTGACTGATCAGGTGTATTTTTGGGCTTCAGGTTCTGGGCTCTTTTGTGGCTGCTTGTCACGAATACGGCCCTCATCTTCTCCCCTGCTCAGCTGCTGCCTGTAAAGGTGTCGGCTGTGACCGGACATTAGGTACCATATTCGCTGTCATGACAATTCCCTTTTCTCTGAACACTGAAAAGCTTGGTTTCCATGGAAGGGGATATAGCTCCAAGATCAGACTGGAAGAGCTATGGATGAGGGTAGCCACAGTAACCCCAGAGTACTGGCTTCTTGGCCTGAGAGGAAGTCAGGAATCACCGGGGAGGGACTTTAAGTTTACACCGCTGGTACGGCAGGGTTAGACAGGTTAATACACAGGCAGCGGCAGTGGGGCCAGGGAGTGGGGTCTGTGTCTCTTAGATCCAGCATCCCTGATCTTACCTGCCCAGGTAGAGTACTCGGTTCTCCTCAGTCTCCTGGGCTATCCAGGCCCCGCCCCGTCCTGCCCACTTTGCTCACCTGAAGCACCAGCGCTCATCAGGGACACCTTCCCATCTGGTGCCGACTTTCAGCAGCCTCCCTGAGCGATGCCTCTTCCTCCTGCACCACCAGTAACCATTCTCCATCTCCAAGACAGAGATGGCTTTCTGGGGACAAAGGAAACAAAATGTCCTGGTATCCTGCCTGGAGAAAGAAGCGCCCAGAGCAAGGGAAAAAGATGCCCTCACAGAACTTTACAGAATGAAAAATGAATATATATATATATTATATATATATCATGTGAGCTGGAATCTAGCTTGCAATATCTGTTTCTTGTGGGGCATGAGAGTCCAGTCCTTTCAGAATGTCAATTTCCCCATCTATAAACTAAGGAAAAGACACCTCGGGTTGGTGGCATACACATAAGGAATACTCAACAGTGACTTGTTCTTCTGCACATCGGACTCCAGATCATATCCCCTCTCTCACAGGCATGCCCACTCGCACACACAGCCAGGGCATCCCAAACCCCACTGGTGCCAGCAGTTGAGGCTCAAGAAGGAAATGGCCCAAGGACAGCAATAACATGGCAGCGGAATCCAACCTCCAGGGCAAGGCTCTCCCTGGCCAAAACCTACACAGCCTTTCTCTCATCAAGTAAGACACGTCTGATGCTTCTGTAGTGGGGGGTTGTCATATCAGTCCTCCAATCTCTCCCCTCCACCCACATCAGTCTAACTATATTTTACATATGTGGCGCTCAGGAGGGGCCTTTGTCTTATTCTCTGTGGGGCTTGTCCTGCATAACCCTACCAGTATAGGCATTCAAGACACACCTGATATTCAGGCATGGTGACTCACCCCTGCACTCACAAGCCTCAGGTAGGGGGTTGCTGTGAGTTGGAGGCCAATCAGTGATACATCATGAAACTCTTGTCTCCATAATAATGCCAACGGATCGTGATAACTGACTCAGTGAGCACCTTCATTGTGCCAGGCACTATCCCGAATGCTTCATACTCCTGAGCTCATATGATCCTTTTAACAACCCTACAATGCAATGAATGGCTGCAATCTAGAGGTAGGTCTGGCTGGGCTGAGCTCACGTGTGTGACCGGGTGCTGGGCCCTCAGCAGGGTTCCAAGGGTGAGAGAGGAGCGCCTCACGGGCAGTACCTGCAGCTTCCAGATGCTCCAGCTGTCAGTGGCAACACTGTTGACGGTCTCGCTCATGAGGGCAATGAGCATGTTGAGCAGCAGGACTTAGGTGAGAAGAACATAGGCCAACAGTAACAGCAGCACCACCCCGCGAAAGCGCAGCTGCTCCTGGAAGGCCAGCTCGCCCATCCCGATAGTGAACTTGAAGAGCTCCAGTGAAGCATCCAGAATGCCCCCGTAAGGGACCTCCTCTTCCTCCTGGCCCGCCATGGGCTGTGCTGTCACTGTGGCGTTGTTACTGGCAGGGGCTTTAGGGCTTTGGGGCTCCCGGCTCAAGCTCACGAGGGCTGTGGGTAAGGGAGAGGGAGGGTCTCAGTCTGGGAGGCAGGCAGGCTGCAGGGCAGGGGCAAGAAGGGGCATCTGGACGGGGGAGATGGCTCAGTGGGTAAAGGTGCTTGTGTTGCCAACATGAGGTCCTGTGTTTGAATCTCCAGCACCCAGGCAAAAAGCTGGGCATAGGCTGGCAAGATGGCTCATGGAATTAGGGTGTTTGCCTCCAAATCTGATGACCTGTATTTGATTCCCATTTTTTTAAAGATTTTATTTATTATGTATACAATACAATGTGTTGCCCCCATGTATGACTGCAGGCCAGAAAAGAGCACCATATCTCACTGTAGATGGTTGTGAACCACCATGTGGTTGCTGGGACTTGAACTCAGGACCTCTGGAAGAATAGTCAGCATCTTTAACCTCTGAGCCATCTCTCCAGCCCGATTCCCATTTTTTTGATGGAAGAAAAATAATCACCTCCCCATAAGTTGTCTTCTGATCGCCCCCAACACACACACACAAATAAATGTAATTTAAAAATTTTAAAGTCATACGTGGCTATAACCCCAGCATTATAGGACAGAGACAGGCAGATTCCTAGCACTCCCTGACCATGCTAATCAAAAACCAGCAAGCTTCCATTTCAGTAAGAGATGCTGTCTCAAGGCAATAAGACAGGGAACAATAGCAGAAGACACCCTGTATCCTGCTCAGGTCTCTCTGCATGCATACACGTACATTCACAGACCCTCGTGCGCACACATGCAGGCACTGCACAGGAACACACGCTCAACGGCTAGAAGAGTCTTTACCTACAGCGAAGCCGAAAAGGAAGACTAAGTAGACCAGCAGGAATCGGAGCAAGTCGCGAAGAATGACCTGGAACACACAAGCCCAAGGGGAAGGAAGACTGGGTGAGTGATCCACGCATACGGCATACCAACCTCCCCCCCCCCCCAAGTCGGGTTCCCTCTCACAGACTGTGTCTGCACAAACATAGGTCATTCTGAGCTGCGGGAGCTTTTCAAAGAATCTGCCTCCAGCTCAGATGAAAGTGGGTGAAAGTGCTTGCCCGCAGGCATGTGAGCCTGACTTTGATTCTAACTGCTGAGCCATTTCTCCAGTCCCTCTTTCACCAGAATTTTAAAACCCCAGGCACCCTCCTGCCACCTACTCCCTCCCCACACTTGAGCTCCTTGGCATGGCTGTCTCCTGGCTGTCTCAAGCACTCGCTGCTGGTTCTGGCTCTTTGCCTTCCCTTTTACTGTTCCCTCTGAAGAGGATGCTTCCTCCTCCACTCTGAGGTGACTGACTCATTCTTCCAGGTCACCACTAACGACTGTGGGTCTACCTCAGTGGTAGAGTGCTTGCTAGATTGTATGAGGGTCCTGGTCCCATCCTCTACATTGTATAAAAAGAAAACTTAAACACTCCCAGCCAGGCAGTAGTGGTGCACGGCTTTAATTCCAGCACTGGGGGGGGGGGGGGGGGGGGGGGGAGCAGAAGGATCTCAGTGAGTTTGAAGCCAGCCTGGGCTACAGAGCGAGTTCCAGGACAGCCAGGACTACACAGAGAAACGCTGTTTCAACAAAACAAAACAAAAATTCCTCTTTAGAAAGGGTTTTGTCTTGAGAAAAACAAAAACAACAACAACAACAACAAAAAAAGTTTTACGCACCAGCCCTCTAAAGTACCATCTGCCCCAGTTCCTCTCCATGGTACTGTCCTGTGTGTTTCTTCTGTAGTCAGCAACATCCTGGACTGTTTCCTTAGCAATTTCATTCCCCACACTGGAACATCAGCGTCAAAAGAGGAAGGACTCTGTTTTGTCATTGCTGTGTCCCCAATGCTTAGGACAGAGCCAGGACCACAGTGGGCACTCCTAAACACTTGTGAAAGAATTGGGTGCAGACTGATGTTGATGGCCTCATGTCCCAAGACTCAGACAAATGGATTAAGTGCATATGAATATGATCTGCTCCTTTATGAAAGATGCCCATGTTCCTATGTGGACACCTGCCAACAAACGTATATATATGCATCTGCATATGTGATGTGTTAAGACATCCAGGTATGCACGCTTACACCTGCAGTAGTGTTGGGCAAACTCTCTCCTGCTCAGATTAGCTGTCGAGGATAGCTCCTGCCTCATGGGGCCAAAAGGAGTCCTACTGGGAGGTGGTGTCCAGGCCGCCCTAGTCTAAATGTACTTGGTCCCGCCCTCATCTCTCACCTTCTGGATCATGACACTGTAGATGCCTGTGTGTTGGAAGCCACGTGTGTAGTAAAGCAGGTTCAGCCAGCCCAGCACCAGGGACGACACCAGCAGGGGCAGGTACCATTCAGTCTCCACGAAACGCAGCACCTGGGACAGCACTGTGAGCAGAGCCTGGACAAGGCTGGGAGAAGACAAGATGTGGATCAACCTCGAGGCCACTTGGCAGCAGCCACCATTGACTGCCTCTACCACCTCTGGTGGACTCCGTCTGTCTGGAGCTAGATCAGTCATAGCCTGACCTCCACCCTGGGTGAGTTATTTACTTATGCTCTGGGCTTCCCACTTGTAATAATGATACCTGAATCAGAGAATGTCTTCAAAAATTGGAACACTACATGGAAACAGGTTCTACAAAGATGGGGACGTGAAAGGGCCCAGCCAAGCTCACCCACACCCAGGGTTCTCAGGTCTGGTGCACACTCCCATCCTTGCCCCCTAGAACAGCTTGGAGTCTTGAGTCCTGGTCTCTACAACCAGCTTGGAGCTCTCTACCACACCTGCCACGCCCAGACGTCAGAGACAGTATAGGAAAGGAGACTCACGTACAAGAGGATTTCAAAGTAGCTGTCGATGAATGAGATCCAAATGAACAGACGGCGGCGCCAGAAGTACCACAGCTGTGGGGAGAGAGAGGTCAGAGGGGGTGACCCTTGCTCTTCAGTTCTGAGTGCAGCCAGAACGGCCCTGTGGCCTGGATTGCAGCTCCCCCGACTTGCTTCACAAGTGTTTAGGAACCTGGTGAACACCAGCCCAGGGGCTAAATCATTAGCCTGTCTCCCTCCCTCTCAATATGTAGCTTGCACTGGACAGTTTTATGTCAGCTTGACATAAGCCAGAGCCATCTGAGAGGAAGGAACACTAACTAAGGAAATGCCTCCGTAAGATCGAGCTGTAGGCAGGCAAGCCTGTATGTAGGGCTTTTTCTTTTTTTTTTTTTTTTTTTTTTTTTTTTTTTTTGGTTTTTCGAGACAGGGTTTCTCTGTGGCTTTGGAGCCTGTCCTGGAACTAGCTCTGTAGACCAGGCTGGTGTAGGGCATTTTCTTAACTAGTGATTGATGGAGGAGGGCCCAGTCCATTGTGGGTGGGGCCACCCCTGGGCTGATGGTCCTGGCCGGTGTGGGGGTTTGTTTCTCCAGCAGTGAAGAGAGTATAGTTAACACCCTGTAAAGTCCTGTCTTGCTTCAGTTGACTGGGAGCTTCATAGGCAGCAGGGGAAATAGGAAGGTATCCTTACCTGGCCCAGTAAGAGGTAAATACCCCCAAGCAGAATCAGGATGTGGCCCAGCAGCAGCATGGACTCCCCAAAAGTCGCTTTTGATGAGGGAACAGCTGTCTGAAGAGACAGACACTCCCATCAGACCTAGAGTCTTGGTCTAGATGGGGTCTAGCCCATCCCCAACGGCTAGCCATCCAAAGACCTCTAGGTTAAGAGATAATTCTGAGCCTGCGCTGTGGAGAGGCCACTGAGCATCAGAGAGGACACAGGCTCTGGGGAAAGGCCCTGATTCCAGTCCCTTAGAAGCATAGAACAGTTATTAGTACTGGGTTTGGAGCCATATTTTCTGGGCTCAGATCATCTCTATCACTGAGAGTTTTTATTACCTCAGATAATACACTTAACCTTTCTATGCCTCTCCCTTCCCTTGGCAGGAAACTGAGAATGGCGGCCCTTCACCCCAGAGGTTGGTGTGAGCCGTCATTAGTCAACAGATGCTGACCACTTAGACTACTGGCGCACATCTGGCAAGTACTCAGGAAGAATTCGCTATTATTGCCGTCTTTACCCTGGGGGACTCTTTCTAGAAGAGCTCAGGGTCTTATCCCTCAGGCCGCCTAGCCCTCAGTGTCAGCTGTGGTAGGATGGGGATGCTTCCACTTTTCACCCCAGGGTTGCTTCAAGCAGGGGTGCCCCAGGATGGCCCCACCCAGTTCTTGCCTTCTCCAGGGAAGGTTGGTGGTAGGCAACAATGGTGAAGATGAACATGTAGGCCAAGTAACAGGCGAAGTTGAAGAAGAATCTCGGGATGAGCCGCTCCCATTTCTCCTGCAGAAGCTTGTTCAGGGGCTCTAAAACCACCATGCGGTGCCGGTGCTGGGGTGGGAGAGGGAGAAGCGAAAGCACAATGTGGGACGGGCGCTGCTGGCTAGATGGTACGACAAGCCCCCACTTCACGGCAGGCTTCATGCAAGGGCTAAGGGAGATGGAGAGGAGCAATGGGGAATGGGTTTCCAGACCCAGGACCCCTGAAAGGTGCTGCCCTGTACTACGGCGGCGGCATGAAGGAGGGCTTGCCCTTTGCCAGAATCTCTAGGCAGACCATGGGCTTACCGGGCTCTTGCAGTGAAAGGCAATGATTTCCAGCACCGAGTTCTTCTCCCAGCTGTCCACGGAGGACAAATCGTACAGTGATACCCGGACAGGACCGTAGCACCACTCTGTAAACTTTCTGGAAAGGGGCTGGTACAGTCCTGAGAACTCCCGCTGCAGAATGTGCCTGAAAATCTACAGGGCAGTCACATGAGCTCACCTGCTAGTCATCCTCCCTGTTGCTGGGCAACACCCTCCCCTGTTGCTGGGCAACACTGTGAGCCCCTGCGGAGCACAGACGGTCTAGCCTGTTTCAGCTCTTCCGTCTGCCCAACCTGGGATGAATTGTCGGGTTTACGTTTCTACACAGGCGTAGGCTGACATGCAGCTTTACTCTTTCTTCCCCAGTCCTGCCTCCATGGATTTCATTTCTGAGCTCCTCGGATAGCACAAAGATCCCAGCTGGGGACTTGAGGTCACTTGAAATCAGAGACCACCAGTTTTGCATGTGTGTGGGGTCCCTACTCCAAAACAGGTTAAGAAGTCTTTGCTCACACATGAGGAGTGAGGACAAGAAGGGTGCAGATGAGGGAGCAACTTACAAGGCCATAGAACTTTGCCTTTTTTAATTTTTCAAGGATTTATTATATATAGTGTTCTGCCTGCATGTTTGCCTACAGGCCAGAAGGGGGCACCAGATTTCATTACAGATGGTTGTGAAGCACCATATGGTTTCTGGGAATTGAACTCAGGGCTTTTGGAAGAGTAGGCAGTGCTCTTAACCTCTGAGCCATCTCTCCATCTCCAATACTTACTCTTTCTACCAAAAGTACTTTCAAGCCAAACAGTTTCAGACATTAAATATGAAACCATAGGGGTTGGAGAGATGACTCAGTGGTTCAAACCTCTTGTTAGTCTTACAGAGGACCTGATTCTGTTCCCAATACCCATATAGTGGTTCACAATCACCCACAACTCTAGTTTTAGGGTATCCATTCAATACCCTCTTCTGTCCTCTGCAGGCAAGCCACTCACACACACAGAATAACAGCGCCAGGTATGATGTGATGCATGCCTGTATCCCAATACTGGGGAGACTAAGGCGAGGGACCAAGAGTTCAAGACCAGGGCTGACAAGATGGCTAAATGGGATAAAGGTAGTTTGATCCCTGAAACCTACATGGTAGAAAAAGAGAACCACCCCCTGCAAGTCACCATCTAAATTCCACATACATGCTATGGCATGTGTTCACATTTATGTACACACAGGATAAATGTACATAAATAGAGTTCAAGGGCAACTTAGGCTAAGACCCTGTTTCAAAGCAAGCAAACAAAAAATAAATTGCAAAAGTCTGAAAAAAGATAAAGATGGGTATATTAAATATAATGATCACATATACATAATCACGCTGCTATATAGCATACAATACAAGCTACATACTGTGATGGCTAATCTTCTTAACAGGATCTAGAACCAATGAAGAGACAGGTCTCTGAGCATATATGTGAGTAATGAATTATCTAGATTAGGTCAATAGAGATGGAAAGACACATTCTACATGTGGATGACACCGTCCCACAACTGGGATCCCGGGCTGAATGGAAAGGAGAAAGCGAGCTTCACAGCAGCGTTCATCTCTCTCTAAGTCCTGACTGCAGGCACGATGTGACCAGTGGCCTCATGTTCCCGCTGCCATGCCTTCCCTGCTATGGGGGCCAGCACCCTCAAAGTGTGAGCCAAATAAACCCTTCTTTCCTTAAGTGTTTTTTGTCAGGTGTTTTGTATAGCAACATGGAAAGTAACTAATATACATATGTATCAAGTATATAAAATAATGGTGCCAGAGGAATGGCTCAGCAGTTAAGAGCACTGGCTGCTCCTTTATAAGGACCCAGGTTCAAGTCCCAGTACCCACATGGCAGCTCACAGCTGTCTATAAGGCCAGTCTCAGGGGGACTCACACCTTCTTCTGGCCTCCAGGGGCACCAGGCATGCATGTGGTACAGATAATCCATGCAGGCAAAATACTCATACATATGAAAATAAACAATTTAAAAACACTATTTATTATATACAATATATGATTTTTTAAGATTTTTGGATTTTGTTGTTGTTGTTTTGTTTTTTTAAATATTTATTTGTTTATTATGTATACAATATTCTGTCTGTGTGTATGCCTACAGGCCAGAAGAGGGCACCAGACCCCATTATAGATGGTTGTGAGCCACCATGTGGTTGCTGGGAATTGAACTCAGGACCTTTGGAAGAGGAGGCAATGCTTAACCTCTGATCCATCTCTCTAGCCCCTGTTTTGTTTTTTTGAGACAAGTTTTCTCTGTGTAACAGCCTAGCTGTCCTGGAACTAGCTCTTGTAGACCAGGCTGGCCTTGAAATCACAGAGATCCACCTATTTCTGCCTCCCAAGGGCTGGGATTAATGGCATATGCACCACCACCACCCGGCTTTTTGTTATGTTTTGTTTTTATGCTTTTGTTTTGTTTTGATTTTGATTTTTTGAGATTTATTGGGCTGGAGACCAAACTCAGGTCCTCTGCTAGAACGAGTGCTCTTCACTGCTGAGCCATTTCTCCAGCCCCAACCACACAGTGGAGGAAAATGTGAATGTCACAGTGGATAAAATCTGCACAAAATCGAATAGCAAATTATACAAAATCTAGAAAATAGGTGATTGTGTTAGCGTGAATAAAAATTTCCCCTAGAGGCTACGGTGTTTGAATACTTGGTCCTACCAAGTTGATGGTGCTGTTTGGGTAGGTTTAGGAGGTGTGGCCTTTCTGGAGGACATATGTCACTGTAGGTGGGCTTTGAGCTTTGAAAGCTATGTTGCCATTCCCACTTCATTCTCTCTTTCCTACTTGGCAGTTGAGCTCTTGACTTGCTATTCCAGCTACCATGCTTGCCTGCTGGCATACTTCCTTGCCCTGGTGGGGATGGACTCATGCCTCTGGAAATTTAAGTCCAGATAAACCCTTCCTTCTCTAAGCTACCTTGACCCTGGTGTTTTATTGCAGCAGCAGAGCAATAACTAATACAGCTATCTTCCAGATGCTGGAGCCATCACTCAGTGGTTCCGAGCACTTGCTGCTTCTCCAGAAGATCCAGGTTCGGTTCCCAGCACCCACATGATATAGTCATGTTATAGTTTATAGTCATCTGTAATTGCACCCTCTTTTGGCCTCCACAGGCACCAGACATTCTCCCAGTGCACAGATGGACATACAGGCAAAATACTTGTGCACATAAAATAAAAATAATCTTTTTGTAAAACGTTGTTTCTTGGGAAGAGGTAGTCATTGGCACCCTGTGAGCCTTCAGGGTACCAGTGGATAGTTTGAAACCTGCAATCGCACAGATGGTCCGGTTTCAACTCAGTTGAACAAGACAAAACAAAAAGAACTGAATGTGAGAATGGAATGTAAGGGGATGACAGGAAAGGGGGGAGATAATGAAGGGCCCAGGACGAGAGAAACCGGAATGTGTTATATACTTATAGGAATTGTCTGCTCGGGTTCTGCTGCAGCTGAGAGAGGCAGGAGAGGGAGGGGCAGTACTCACCTCGATTTTGCCTTCTTTGGCAGCTAGCTTCAGGGGCGTGAGGCCTTCGTGGTTGCAGATATCCTCCAGCTGCACAGTGGGGCAGAGGCGGACCCCCACTTGGAGAAGCCCATCGTACATGTGGATCACCAGCGCGCTGTTCTCAGGCGAGTTATCTGCAATCATGACCAGCGCGTGCAGGACCGTGTTGCCTAGGGAATCAGTGGCCTCCAGGCTGGCAGGCTGGTGTGGGTTCTCCAGGAGGTAGGTCACCACATCCCACTGCTTGGTGCATGCAGCCAGCGACAGAGGTAGCTCGCCTGCAGACCAAGAGGGAAGCTTGAGCTTCTGCTTCCACCTCACTACTCTTCCTGCAGATCAGGAAGATTAAGAGGCAGACAAAGGGCTGCCCCTCCCCCCACTTGCCTCTTTCATTCTTCTTTGATAGAGTCAACTCACTACCCCTTAATGCGAATTCTTTTTGATCAGATTCATTGATTTAGTAGGTTTTTGGTTTTTTTTTTTTTTTTTTTTAGCGGTGGTAGTGGGTCAGGGTTTTTTTTGCTGTTATTTACTTATTTGTTTGGATGATTTTGGGGGAGTGTTAAAAATGGAACCCAGGGGGATGGGACAGTAGTTCATTTGCTATAGTGACTGCCACGGTAGAATGTGGTGTCACCTTTAATCCCAGCACTTGGGAGGTAGAGGCAGGTGGATCTCTGAACTTGAGGCAATCATGGTCCACAAAGCAAGTTCCAGGACAGCCAGGGCTACACAGAGAAACCCTGTCTCAAAAGAAGCACAAAACAACAATAGTGACAACAATAACAACAACAAAAAAAAGACAGAGAAGGAGGTAAAGGCACCTAAAATCAACTTCTGGCCCCCACACTCACGTGAACACACATGAACAAGTATTAGGATATAGACCATAATTTTAAAAGGGGAACCCATGCATGCCAGCCACATGCTCCACCACTGAGTTAGACACCCTGAGTCTACATGCTCAGTCTTGGCACAATCCAGTTCCTGCAGCCCATCCTCTCCCCTGTCTGGACGTGGGTACGTGCTGAGTTTCCATGCCTTAAAGGGGACTAAGTGAGCTGGACAGTGGTGGCGCACGCCTTAATCCCAGCACTTGGAAGGCAGAGGCAGGCGGAGCTCTGTGAGTTTGAGGCCAGCCTGGTCTATAAGAGCTAGTTCCAGGACAGACTCCAAAGCCAAAGCCACAGAGAAACCCTGACCCAAAACAAACAAAAACACAAAAGGGGGGGGGGGAGGCTAAGCATTCTTTAAACAAGTTGTGATTTAATTGGTCTGGTTAGAGGCAGACAGACTGGGGTTCAGTGCCAGCTCTGCCAACCACGTGACCTTGGACAAAGCTTTACGCATTCTGCGTCTCACCATGGCTAAGAAAAGCTCTCTCACCAAAATAGAAACAAGTTCCTTGGTGCTTCTGGAAGAAGCGGCCGCAGGCTCGGGCATGCACATCTGCCCCGTTCTCCACCAGCAGCTTCACGCACGGCAGGCTCCTCTTCTCTATGGCAATGTGCAGCGCACTGTGTCCGCGATAGAAGTCATCGGTGCACTGGGCATTGACCAGGGGCTGAGGGTTGCCAGAATTCCTGTCGATCTGCAGCAGGGGCAGGATGCAGGCATTGACCCCGTCCTGAAGGTTCAGCACAGCCTTCATCAGGCACGTCTTCCCCGTGGAGCCCTCTGCAAGGAGAGAGGGGGAAGCACAGGCAATGTTCAGACCCAGCAAGGCTGGACGTCTGTCAGTTTGTACAGCAAACCTAGGATCCAGAGTACTTCATGGGAGGATAGAAAAAGATCCCTGCTTTATGCAACTGGTGAGAACACACTTGGCTACAAGATATTAAGACTCCAAAGTATGGGCATTAAAATACCACCAGGCATGAGTACAATTTCTGCCTTAACACCAAGTTTCTAAGACGTAATTCGATACATATGCAACACTGTCTGTGTGGAGTTTTGGTGGTGGTGGTGGTATGTGTGTTGTTTTGTTTTGACACAGGGTCTTACTTTATTAGTTCTGGCTGGCCTCGAACTCACAGAGACTCACCTGTCTCTGCCTCCCAAGTGCTGGGATTTAAGGCATGAGCCACCACACCTGACCCTGTGACATTCATTGTCTGTCTGAGGACATTGGGTCTGAGCTCCAGCAGCACATGCCTGTAATCCCAGCACTTGGGAAGTGGAGACGAGACCAGAAAACCAGGTCATCCTCAGCCTCCATAGCTGAGGCCAGCTTGGGTTATATGAGACCCTTATTTAAAAAAAAAAAAATCCAGTGCAGAATTTGCAAGTGGCTCCCTCACTTAAGGACTGTGACCCCTTCAGGAAGTGCCATGGCCTCTTTTAACCTATTTTCCTTTATGATGAAAGGAGATATCCTAGGGTTATTAGGAAAAGTTATGAGAATAACATAATCAAAGTGCTTAGCACACAGAGGGCCAAGCACGTAGCAAGCTGCGGTCTCAGGCTGCAGTCTGAGCAGTCATACACAAGCACTGTTCTATGAAATGACGGTCAGTCTCCACGGAGATCACCTGCCCCGTGAAGCTAGGCGTGGCGGCCCACACCTCGCGGCACTCGGGAGGCTAAGTCAAGGCTGGCCTCGTGAGCTACTTAGTGAGCCCCCATCTCAACAACCAAATCAATAAATAAGATGTATCCAGAGGAGGAGAGTAGCATATTACACATTATTGCATGTGGCAATTCTTTATGTATCTAACCTTCTGGGTTACTCTGAAAAGATGCCAAGCCATTCGCAGTGGCTCAAGATGACAGGCTAGTTTTTTTCCCCCTTGGCCTTACATATTTCTTTACCATTTGAATCTTCTTACAGTACATATTTTTTTTTCAATTTGGTTTTGTTTGTTTGTTTGTTTGTTGTTTTTTGAGACAGGTTTCTCTTTGTAGCCCTGGCTGTCCTGGAACTAGCTCTATAGACCAGGCTGGCTTCGATCTCACAGAGATCCGCCTGCCTCTGCCTCCCGAGTGCTTATTTTATAGTGCATGCAGTCCCATGAAGGCCAGGAAAGGGCATCGGATCCCCAGGAACTGCTTTTATAGATGGATGTTAGCTTCCACGGGAGTACTGGGAATCTAAGCCAGGTCCTCTGGAAGAGCAGTCAGTGATGGTCTCAACCACTGAGCCATCCGTCTCTCCAACCCCAAGAACAGCACAGCTGCCTCTCTGACGCTGAGCATAAAGGCCACCAAAGGGTAAGGGGCTACCTGTGTACGCTGAGTCAGTGAGGTACTTGCTGGTCCGGCACAGGTATTCTGACAGTCCAGCCAGCTCCTCGGGGACACCCCGGGAGACCACACTGAAGAGTCGGTCGCGGTCAAACCGGTTTGGGTCCTGCTGGCTGTGGAGAATGTGTTTTTGTGACTCATGTTGGAGAAAGGCCACAACCCCTCCAGCACGAAGCCTCCTCCTTCACGGAAGTATTGTCAGTACTCTAGGAGTACTAGCCCTGCACCTCGGGTCACACAGTAATTCTTTGGAAGGCCTTTCCTAGGGCTCCAAAAGTTCAGGCTCTAGGAGAGGAGAAGAAACCGGTCTGGACATTACCCTGCCGCAATACTGCGGCCCTACTCATCTCGGGCAATTTTCGGCGTTAAGTGCATCACCTCTGAAGAGACTCGTGATTCCGCAGGAGTCATCCAGCTCCCATGCCTCACAGCGACCCTCAGACGTCGGTATGGGTCTGGACAGCGTTGTGTGAGGTGCCTGCAAACTAAAGGCTGTGCTGCCTGCATCCCTGCCCTTGAGGATGAAGTGGAAAGGATGATGGAGGCAGAGCTCAGCAGGAAAGTGCCTGCCTGGTTGGCACGAGGCCTCGGTTCATCGCCAGCACCAGTGAAAAAGCTGAGACAATAGCTGCTCACTGGTTAGAAGTCTGCAATAACTCATCTTGACTCCAGCCCTACGGGCATTGACCCACCGGGCTCTCCGTTAGGCAAACAAGTAAAGTAACTTAGCTAGAGTCACACTGTGCAGAACTGGAGCGCCATGGATGCTGCCCTATCTCTAAACCCCAAAAGAGGGTCTTGGCTGGGCGGACAAGATGTTTCCCAGAGTTAGACTATCTTGGTCACCCAGCACTGGATAGCATAAGCTGACCAGGGTTTTACTGAGAAGCTGCACTTCCGGGAAATCTCTTCCACAGAGCCCAGAAGAGGCTTCCTGGGGCTCATCAGACATGCTCTGGGGTTGTCTTGTGATGGGGACAGTGGCTTAGTGAGATGGCCCCATCTCCTCCACAAGTCACTTAACCTCTCTTTTTTTTTATTTTTTATTTATTTATTTATTTATTAAATATTTCTGTCTCTTCCCCACCTCCGCCTCCCCTTTCCCTCCCCCTCCCCCAATCAAGTCCCCCTCCCTCATCAGCCCAAAGAGCAATCAGGGCT